TAAAAGAAATGATATAATAATTACCTCTCCCAAGAAGGTTATGATTCATTGTTGTGTCTGTCTGTTAATGGGATTATGCAAAAAGCTGATGAATGATGGATCTTCATGAAATTTAGTGGAGTGGTACATACTGATGCAAGATAAAGGTGATTACATTTTGGGGTGAAAAGGTCAAAGGACAATGCCATAGTCACAGAAATTTGAAAAATGTTCTGAAACTTACACTTTGAACATAAAACAAAATAATGGAATTGCCCATAAATGCCTACATGTACTATAATAATAATAATACCCAAGTATTTATAATGCGCCAATTTCAAATTGAATGATCAAAGGCGCGAGCATTATTACCCCTGGTCACTGGATAACATACGGTAGCAAACCAGCACGTATAGGAAGTGCAACCTTCTCTGCTCATTGGGGAGTATCCCCAGTCATTCGCTACTTCTTTAGCACAAGAAACATCCTATCAGGTACCCATTACAAAAAAAACTGTTGTATGCCCATATATAGTCATGATGTGCCTATATATGGTCATGATGTGATGTCATCATGGCCATATTTAGGCATACCACAGGTTTTTGTCAAATAAAATTTGGTAGTCTGGGCAGGGCATAAGATTTGGAATGATCTCACAAATGAAAAAAAAAAAAACACTTCAAATAATAAAAACATTGTAGATTAAAAATTCCATTACTTATAACTATTTTAAAATTGACCATTCTTTAAGATTTTTTTTTTTATTGTTTAGTTTTTCACTCACATTCTCGATCTTACTGTTTTTTATGCACCTGTAGGCTAGCACTTAAAATCAACAGTACCAGTACACGAATATTAAAAAATGCCTGCACTGTATAAAGAATATATAAATATTATGAATAAATCAATTAAAGTTTATTTCAATTTATATCTTATGTCTTTCATGGAAAGAAATCACATGAATATACAATATATGTTTAGTTTTTCACTCACTTTCTTTATGCACCTCTAGGCTAGCACTTAAAATCAACAGTACCAGTACACGAATATTAAAAAATGCCTGCACTGTATCGTGGGTTCGAGTCCGAGGTTGTTTAATTGTGATAAGTAATAATCGTTAACTCCTGTACAATTCAAAAAAGGTCTCAAAACACAGATTACAATTGATATTTGCAAATATATCAAGGTAACCTTTGTGCAAGTCTTCAAATATATTCCACTATTCATAATAATATAAAAGTGGCAATTCAATTACATTATCTAAAAGGCCAAAAGAGACTGATTACTGTTGGTATTTGTTAATTTCTGATACTGTTTTATACTGTTAATTTAACTACATTATCTGAAAGGCCAAAACAGACCGATTACTATAGGTATTAATTACTGATACTTGATGGATGCATAGGTTAGCTAAATTTCAGTCTTGTTTTTATCATCGAGGTTGTTTGATTGTGTTAAAGTAATAATCGTAAACTCCAGTACAGATAAAAAAGGTCTCAAAACACAGATTACAATTGATTAATATTTGCAAATATATTCAACTATTCATGATACTCTATTAAAGAAACTTGGTGATGTAAGCCTTTATTGCAAATATATTCAAATATTCATAATATTCTATTAGCGGTCGTTCACAATTATCAACATTTCACAGTGTACAAACATTACACTAGGGGGAGAGGTAGATAAATTTGTACACTTTTACAAATGCATGATAATGTTTATTCAAAATAATTGTGAATGACCGCTGGGTAATGCAAGCCTTTATTGGGGGAGGGGGGAGGAAGGGAGGGACATGCAAACTGAGAAGAAAAACATTTTTTTTCATTAACAAGTAATGAAACATATATAGGCCACATGAACTATTTAACTGCAGATGTCAACATTTTGGCACTACAACCTTGATAGATGCTTCCTCCTCCATATTGTAGGAAGTAGATGTGACGGGAATTGTGGGTGACATGATTAAAAGGCAAATTATCTCTCTTAACTTCTTGTTTACACATTTCAAAGGAAATAATACACATGTAAGCACAAATAAGTTTGTTAAGTTATGTTGCAAGAAGCAAACAAAATTATTATCATTATTTTTTTTATTTTTTTTTTTTTACTGTTCTCAAAGTTTTTTCTCCTTTCTTTTAATGTTCAAAAATATCAAAATAAAAATAAAAACAGATTGGGCTTAATTATCAATACAAATTAATTTACATAAGCAGTCATTTGATAAAGTTCTATGAAAGCCAGGCACTGAAGAGAACAATACATCCTGTGTAAGTACTCTGTTTCCCACTAGCTTTAAAAAAACAAAGAATTTTTTATCTATTAAATGAAATAGTTTATCCATTTTATATAAATAACAACTGTATTTACAATAACAATATATCAATAACATCAACAATAATAAAACTAACAGATATATTAACAATTAAAATATACATATTTTATATATGATAAATTACTATATGATTATTATTATTTAATTAAAATTGCTTAAGATTATTAACTAATAACAGCAGCAATAATAATAATAATAACAATAATAATAATAATAATAATAATAATAATAATAATAATAATAATAATAATAATAATAATGTAATTATTATTTATCTATTCAATTAACATTCTTGACCTTTTTCCAGAGTAGTGAAATGACCAAATTATCGCATTTATTCAAATAAATGCCCTAAATGACTGTAAACAAAACTAAATGAAATAGCATCATTCTCAACACATTCTATTAATGTTGAATTAAAGTAGAATTCCATTTTTCCTAACCTGGTTTTGATGAATTATACTTTATGATCACACAATAACATATTTTGACGCAGTTCAACATTTCCAGTGAAATTGGAGGGTATACACATTTCACACCAAAGAAAATAAATGCCTCCCTTGAATAAACGCCTCCCTCGAATAAACGCTTCGGGGTGTTTTTTCAAATAAATACGGTATTTTCAACGTGTTTCAAAAATTTAAAGTTGTGATTTTGAAAATAAATCTCTGACAGAACAAATCACTTCTGATTCTGATTTTTTTTTTAATTATCCAATTCAAGCAATTTTCAAAGCAAAATTTCAACTACAGAGTTTGACATTTGGAAACTGGTATAAGTTATGCATGTCGCCACAAACAATCATCAGATGGTATAACGTATAATGAAGGCATCCTGCAGTAATTAAATGCAATTAAACATGTTATGAAATCACTTTAAGACTACGATAGATCATCATGCCTGGCTGAAAAATATCCTTCTCAATATAAGTAAAATCAATGACAAGTTTAAATGTAGGTGAAGGAGTTTGCTAAAACCATTCTGGGCTGGTAGTGATGATGACCATGCTTTGATATTAATTTATTTTTTAAAAAATCACTCGAAATATTATCCCAAAAATGATAAATACAAAACCTAAAATATGTATGCACAAAAATTTTCTTGAATATCCCAAAATATTTTGACAGAATATTGTATGCTTTTTTGGGTTTGTATTATTTAAAATTAAAAAAAAAGAAAAATAAATCTTAGTCCAATTAAAGACCATTTCCAGGACCAGGGTTTTTAATTGGAGGTGGTCTTTAATTAGAGGGGAACTTGTACTCTAATTTTTGTACTGTAGACTTGGCATATTAAACACAGAAGGCAATAACAAAACATTATTGTCTACTTTTTGAATACTCACTGTCTGAATGGATTAAAATCTTTTTTCAATTATCAATCATTTGCATACTTTGAAGAAAATTATTCTATTCTTACCGGAGCACATAAAATTATGAAAAATTTGTTCATCGGACTTAATAATGATATTCAATGATATTCTTGGAAAAAAAAAATCATTTGTTATTCTATAAATTCATAAAATTCATTGTTGGGATTGGAGTATTACAAAGCCCTTCTTAGAAATCATTAAAAAAAAAAATCTATCAGAACAAAAACCTTTTGAAACTGAAAGTAATCATTTAAAGAAAATTTTAAAATAGAAAAAATCTGTCAACAGCTTATATAAGTTAGTAATACACCCCTTGATATAACCAGTGGCGTACCTAGAGGACTTGAAATGAAGTGGGAGCTGATGGGAGTGATGGTGAATTCGGGGCTCCGATGATTCAATGATACGATGAAGTGAGAAGGTGCTATCTCGCAAAATAAGGTGATCTAAATCCAGAGTGTGATTTTTTTTACCTTCAAACATTTCAATGGAGTGCGACTGTGGCGATATATTTTTAGGGAGGGAAGGAGTGTGCCCCACACTCTCTTCTAGATACACCACCGCATATAACATTTATTCTATGTCTTTCAGACCCAAGAAAGACAGTGATATAATGAAGCTTTACATATTTTGCTATTGTATTATAAAGCTCGATAGATGTCATTTAACATATTGATTACTTGGCCCCACGAGGGCACTCTTCATGCATGAAAAATAACTTGACATTGTAAGTTAAAACACCTCCATTCATTGAACGTAACACTTCTTAAGAAACATAAATTGATTAGATATTCACACATAATTTGGTTTACAGGTCTGAATTCAATGAAAGTTTATAACAACTTTTAAAAAGACATCTAGTAATAAGAATTCTTACTTAAATTAAAAACATGATAAATGAAGTTATTTTTATACTTTGCTTACTAGCAGACAACTCTTCTTGAAACCCAAATCGACGAGTCAAATGGCCGAGCGGGTAAGGCAGGGGCGCCTCAATGTAAAGCCATTATATAGCATATTGGTTTAAACGGAACGCTCGTCTATGGTTCTGGTGGAGAACAAGTCTTCACGAATAAGGACTATAAACTGTAGGCCCATTGAACACAATTTGGCTCATGTGTACTTTAAAGAACCTAGTACATCTGTCAAGACGATTAGGGGGTTAACCTGGTGTATTGGTCCACACAGCCCCTGTTGTGGTGAGACAAGTGTAGCTGGTACCGGCTTACCAGATACCTCAAACATGAAGGCTATGTTCTCACACGGCAGCTAACGGTTAGCAGGATCCGTTAGCGGTTAGCAGGATCCGGATCCTGCTAACATGACATATGAATGAACCAGCAATTTATGGACTGAGTGTCTGTGCTGGCTCTAACTACTTATCGAAACCTTGTAATGACTATTTTATTGAATTTGGTATCACAAAAAGAATTGAATATATAAAGAAAAATAATAATACAAATTCCCTTCTATCAGTCATAAAAAGGATGAAATATTTAAAGCCTCCCACAAAAGGCCAACATCTGTGCTGCAATACTTGTACTTGAACTACATTATACATTGATCTGACTTACTTTTATATATTGATCTTGCTTACTTAAGAGATGGTGGATATCAGCTAAATATTCTTATCAGCAATCCTGATATAAACTCCATCACATTACCAACGAGTGAGTGCTTATCCAGCTGCAAAGAATAACAGTGTAACTAACATTAATCTCGGTGATATTTCTCTCCCATACGTTTGTTATGCATTATCGAACACATGTCCTCCAGGCCACAAAACAACTAATGAAACCGATGCCTTTTTGTGGCTAAAGACAGCTCCCGGGGCAATCTGAATTACTGCCCAATTAGCCTAATGAAAAGCACTCATTACGAAACCTACACGTGTGTTGAAACACGCATATCTAATTTGGAGTGTTAATTTCACAAAGTTTCAACACCCCAGGGAGTGAATAGGAAAGGTCATCAGAACTTCTATTAAGTATTAATTCTGTCAACATATTAGGTGTTTTGCTTTATATATTCAATCAAATACTATTATAAAATTATTTAGTCAATCTCTGCAAATAACAACCAGTAATTAACATCTGATATTTTGTGCAATTCTCTTCTGTGTTTCTGTCAAAAGGTACAACTATGTCAGTAATATTTAGTACTTCTTCCGTTTCCATTTGGCCTTTTTTATGTCAATGATGTTAGATATTTTTATTATTATTATTATTAAAACCTGTAAGGATGACATTGGTCACTGTTGGATTCAGATAAAATAAAACTAAAATAAAATTTAGACTTTTAATGTGCATTGTGTTATTTATTTATCACTCTCACCACTACCTGGTGGGGTTGCCTGCTCCTGCGCTGATTACCAGCAGCAACACTTAAAGCCAGTGAACCCAATGACCAGGGAAAAGAACTGCGCTTTATTACCTCAAGGAAGAGGCGCATTATAAATGCACATACCAGTACCAGTACTGGACAGGATTTTCTTCATCTATTACAGTCTAAATTCTCTAGATACATTTCTTTATTTATATTTAATCATATATACTATGAGAAAAAAGAATGTAGCAATGATATTATCATTGGGTCGTTTATTTGCAAGAAATATATTTTCTAAATCTTAATTTTCATTGAAAGCTAAATCTACATAAATGTAAGCCTATATAGTAAACTGAATATTAATTACATTGTTATTAATTTAATATAAAACAGTAAACTGCTAAAAAAAAAACCTGCTTAAAAATGTGTGACTTTAGTTGTATGGGAATTATAATACGGATTGTAGCCGAGGTCATCGATTATTAAAATTTATAATGATAAATGACAGGTCACTGCAAAGATAATACTAATTAGTAATCCATTTAACTTGACGAAGAAACGTATGCACTTTATTTCAATCTGTTCGACAGACACAGTTAAAAAAAATAAAATAAATGATATTAATTATAAAATTTTCAGTCAGTTGAAAAAGATCGCCGATCAAAGCATTCAGGTAAGAGTACACACTCTTTATCCTTGGGTCAACAAGAAAGAAACTTTCATAAAAACGTTTACCTTGGAACCAGGTGAATTTCTTTTCAGATTAATTATAAGGCTATTTTAATTCTCAAGAATAGTGGAGAGAACTGTTTTGACTTTACAATGCTACAGGAAGTATAGAAGTTAATGACGAATCTACTATAGTATGGGACAAAGTTATTTACACTTCTAATTAAATCAACGTATGTTTATAGCAGGAATACATAAACAAATATTTAATTATTCCCATAATTTCAATGAGATTATTTTATGTATTATTTAGTCTAGTAAGTGGGAGAACAGCGAGAGACAGAAGAAGTATTGAGGTAGATGTTCCCCTTACACACTCCACTCTTCACCCCTCCCTTCCTTGATCAATAACTATAATAATAATAATATAATACATAAAATTTTGATAGCCCTCAAATTCATTTTAAAGAAAGGTGTTTGAATTATGAAGTCTAGTAATTAGCAAGTGATATTCACTAATCCACTATGGATCCTGCAGTTATTTTAATGTAATCTACAAAATGTTGTACAGGTGAGAATAGGAATAATAATTTGAAAAAAAAAAAAAAAAAAAAAAGAAAGTAGGAACAAAATATATTGAGAATATTTTAAATTACCAATACTATATACATAAAGCTCATATACTGTAATATACAGTGGAATAAACTTTTACACAAGTCTTTTCTAAACACTACAATTTTTAGCTTTTCAAACAAAATACTAAGCACAATGAACCTTTTCATCCCTACATTGTAATCATCCTTTGTCTCAGGTAAAAGCCAAAAACTCTAGGACGTTTTCTAGCACATATCTACAGAAAAAACACACACACACACACACCCACACACACAGATGGGAATAACACAGAGGGAAGTGGAGGAAAATCGCTGTGCATCTGTTTTCACTATTCAATTTGCAACTTTTGTTGGTAGACCTACATTAAACATTCGAACACTAGTGGTCGCATTCCTTTGAGGTTTTCTTGATTTTAGAATAATGTATCGATTGCTATTATCTTAAAAATGAACTTGATTTGTGTTAATAAAATATATAGATTGATCATAATGTGTGTTGTTTTATCTGTGGAAAAGGGAAATAGCAAGAGGAAACTGGGGAGGGAAAAGAGAACTGGGGAAAAGAAGATGGATGGATGGATTTATTTGGTGTAAACATCAAGAATAACCCACAAAAGTCTGAAGAATTATTTCCACCGGGATCCTTCTGAAGACCCCTGTTCAAACCCTACCAACATCGGATCACCTGGCTCCTCGAATAACCCTCGTATTGAGAGTACTGCACTGCAGCTGGCACAGCTCCCCAAGGGGCCAGCCCAAATTTGGTTTTCATTTAAAATTATTGTGTTGGCCACGCCCAACCGACCCAAAATGTTCAAAATTGAGAGTCTGCATTTTAGTTGTTTTTTTCCCCCCTTTTTTTTTTTACATCGAAAAATATTTTTTTAATGAGTTAAAAAGGCTGGAATAGGCTTATCTTGCGATGGTAGGCGATGCGACAGTGTTATGCGATTGTTTGGATCTTCAATATAGATATAAAAATGGTCTTTGTTTTATTTTTGTGTATTTTCTACTTTTTAAGCATAAACAATTTTTGGTCAAAAAAAATTAAATTAAAAAAAAAGCATTTCCTACTGACCTACCCATTTTTTGGATTTTTTTCCAAAATGTGGCCAACACAAGAATTTTTTTTATTGGCATTATTATTATTATTATTATTATTATTATTATTATTATTATTATCATCATCATTATCATTATTATTATAATTACTATTATTCCAATGCCTATCCAATTCATTTCATTCCTAGGCCATCAAAATGTTGGCACAAATGAGGTAGCCGAGGCAGGGATGATCAATGTTTTCAATGGATTTTTTGATGTGATAATTTCACAGTGGTTTCACACTGTGAGGTATGAGAGATTGGTGATCACAAGGGAATACTCGTCAATGAGGTGTTTTGGAAAACATGTCAGATGGTGACACATTGATATCAGCACAGGGACACACATCAGAAATGAAAAACGTCTTTATTAGAATCTTGAAAGTTCTATGATGCATAAATAAGTTACTTTCTACTAGATATAACACAGTGCAACCTCCAATTCGACACCCCTCTAAATCAGAGACCCCTCTAATTAGAGACCACTTTTTCAAAGAACCAAATAATCTTTTATCTTTTAATTGGAGACCAAACCATCCCAAATATTCAGGTTCCAAAGGTCGTCTCAAATTGGCGGTTGAACTGTATCTCAAATTTATATATTTATTTTCTATTTAACTTATTCAACGAGGGTAACAGCAATGATGACATAACAGGGCCTTTCACAAATTCGAAAATATTAATTAAAAATTACAAAAGTTCATTGCAGCATATGAAGAAAAAATTTCAAATAGAAATTCAATTTAGAAGATTAACATTGGACATAATAAAATATGCAATATACTTTAGTAGGGGTGAGATAAAGTGTTATTACAAGCACAGAGATTTGTATCTGAAGCTTCCAGGAGCCACAGCCCCTTGGGCACCCACCATAGGTAAGGAAACACCCCCAAAATCTTCCCCCTTAACCATGTCATCAGACAGCAATGAATGGAACTAAAATGTATGTTGATTGAAATGTTAGCAGTTCATACCATTTTTTTTCTTATTGTACATTATAGATCATTTTCGCGAATTTTGGAAATCAAAATTTGCGATAACCTGGCAACTACCACTGGGGGACTTACAGAGGCCTACGCACTGTGCGCTACGTTACCAGTGTGCATGCGGCGCTCTATTTGACATTAGCTAGCTGCTCAGGCTAGGCTAGGATTCAGGAAGACCCCCAGTGAGTTGTGAGACCTTGGCGGTGCTGTTTCAAAGTAAACCCGGTAAATTGGTCTATATTTAAATTCACAAAAATTAGGTTTAATGTGCATTACAATTATTACTGAATTTCTTTTCTGTATTACAATGATTACTGAATTTCTTTTGTTGAAGTGTCTATTTCGATTTATTGGGGCACCCTCTAGCAAATTAATGTTTAGGCACAGTAGACTATACCAAGTTAGAACGCTGGAGATTTGATATCAGATGGTAAAGCCAATTGCATCAAATTTCTATTGTACAAACATTCATTTTCAAGATTAAAGGTTGTTTCATCGGCTGCCCCAGCGCCTCTAGCTAATTCGCTTTCCATGATGATAAATACAAAATCCTAGAAAAATATCAATTAATCAACTGTAGCTGATGAAAATATAACATGCGTCCTCTATAATTGTAGTCTGCTTTCTGTGATCTCACGTGAGGACCTTTCAATTCTTCATAAAAATCTATACTAAATCAAAGTTTGATTTCTAGGGCCTTTCTGATCTTAAAAATTAAAGTCTTGAAGAAATCCTTAAGATGGATTAATCAAAATTTTAAGGTCATATGAATTTAAGAATTTACAGTTGTTTTTTTCTTGTTGAAACAAAAACATGTTTCCCATGGAATGTAGGATAATGAATATATAAGGTGGATACATTCATATTCATAAAAAAAAAACATTCCACAGAATGAGATTAATTTCTTCCCCGTACGAGGAAAAAAAGATGATTGATTATAGCAGTAAGCTTAATTCATTTAAAATTAAACCACAGAGTTCCATTGGGAT